GGGGAGCAGAACAGGCAGATCTACGAAGTACACTGCTGGCCTTTACCTCAGTTCTGTATGCATAAATAAATAAATCTTTTTTTTTTTTTTTTGCCCTGGCTGGGCCAGTTCCAGCTGAAACCAGAGGGATCGGAAGAGGGACACGGTAGTGAACAGGGGGCTTGGGGTGAAGGGTGGGAACGACCAAAGGTGGGGGAGACTAAGAGGGCGGCGGTGGGGAGTGCGCCGTTTGTGATCAACAGCTTGTATTTGATGTGAGCAAACAATCGCCAGGTGAATTGATCTGTATTTCTTTAGAAGGAGCCTCTGGTAAAGCTTTCTTGGCTTCTGTTTCTTGGATAAGAGAGTAAGCCTGTGTCCGTGGTCTGGGCTGGGAGAACAGCAGCCAGAAAGCCCAGGGACGAGGGACCCTGTGTTTCCTGCGGAGAAAGAGGGGTGACAGAAGGAAGCTGGGAGCAGGGGTTTCTTGTCCCAGGGCTACACGTGGGCTTCTACTCTCAGTGTTCGCTTGCTCATCTGTAAAGCATAAATAACAATGTAATTACTGCACCCCAGGTGGTAGTTAAATGAGATATCTGTATGCATGCTTAAAAACTATCTAGTGTGATAAGCTGCTCCTTGTTGATGGAAATTGTTTCCTTCTTGTCTTCTCTCCTCCTGTGTCTTTCCTTTCTCACGCTCACCTGTCACCCTATCTCCATGATGTCCCTTTCATTTCTGTGATTGTGGCCTCCCCCTGAAGGGAGCCTTCTCATGCGAGGTTGGCAGACATTTCAAACCATCTGACACTTCGCCAGCCACTGACCGACTGAGAGGGCCCTAGCCGGTGTGCAGAGACCCGTACAGGTGCCCGTGCCAGTGCCGAGCCTATTGGAATGCCCCCCCGTGCACAGCTTTCTGCTGGCACATGGGCTCTCTCCGTGGTGCACCTCCATCTCAGCCAGCTCTGGGCCATGGGGCCTTTCAATGAGACAGGAGGAAGTACTTGCTTTAGTGAAAGTCATGGCCTTGCCCTGTGGTGTTCTCACCTCTGTTTAGTTTGCAAGGGTTGCCACCAGATGAGTGGCTGAAACGGCGGACAATGATGATCTCACAGCTCTGGAGACTGGAGGTTCAACATCTAGGTGTAGGCAGGTTTCTTCTGAGATTTGGGAGGGGAGGCTATGTCCCAGCCTCTTTCTCTGGCTTGCGGATGGCTGTCTGCATTTTCCTGGGTGTCCACCCCATCTGTGTCTGCCTTCAGATTTCGTCTTTATAAGGATATTGGGGATATGGGATCGCTACCTACCCTAAGGACCTATATGACCTTGCTTATCTCTGTAAAGACCCGATTTCCTAATAAAGTCTTATTCAGAGATACTTGGATTTCAACACCTGGCCATAGCAACACAATTCAGCCCATATGATAGTCAGTCTCTGCATTCAGAGTTGGCCGACCGTCACCTTTGTGTCAGTTGTCTGTGTAGAAACTCTGCTTCCCTTTCCTCCCAGCCCCTCGCAACCATGTGCTTCAGACTTTTACCCTGAGTTGTAGTTACGTAATTCTGCAGCTCTGTTTTGTTTTAATCTGAGTTTGTTCATTTCCTGTTGTTGTAACAAATCACCACAAACTTGGTTTGAGACAACACACACAGTTGTCGTTAGCTTACAGTTCTGGAGGTCAAAAGTCCAAAATAGGAGGGGAGGGCAGTTCTCTGTTCCTTCTAGAACCTCAAGAGGAGAATCCTTTCTTTGCCCTTTCCAGCCCAGAGACGGCTGCCTTTCTTGGCTCATGCTTCTCTTCCTCCAACTTCAAAGCTACATTGAGTTTCTCACATTGCTTCTGCCTTCCCCTCTTGCTTTCCAGGATACTGTGATTATATTGGCTTATTGGATAATCCAGGATAATCTCTCTACTTCCAGTCAGTTGATTAATTCCATCTGCTGTTAATTTTATCAATACTAAAAAAACGAATGTGATCATAATTCTGGAGATTTGGATATGAATATCTGTGGGGGCCATTATCTGCCTGCCTGCCTGGTGGTTTTTTTTATTATGTTTATTGTTCCATTGTTACTCTGAGGGCCCCTTGTGTTGCTTGCTAGGTATCGCAAAAGGAGCTTTTTATAGAAAAAAGCATCTTGCCTAGTTAGAGAACTAAAAGTGTCTCCCCACTGAGCAGAAGCCTGGGAATGGGGGTATTTCCCCACCTGACTGCTGGTGCTGTGGTGGTGATTGTACTGGGAATAACAACCTGAAGGGGTGGGGGCTGTACTTCCACATATAAATGATGATCTAAACCATGTTACCTCAATAAAAATAAAACAGGGACCAACACTCCTCTTCTTCCTCTGGCCCATAATATTAGCATTACATTTTAACCCTTTATATCCAATTCCTTTTTATAGGTTATCTTTCTATAAAATTTCTTGGACACAGTTTCTAACTGGGGAAAATGAAAGTGGAAGGGATGGAATGTCCACAAAGAAAAACAGAAAAGTAAAGTGGAGAGTCTTGTCTTGTGACCAGAGGTCTGAGATCCCTTTTAAGTGCTGGTATTTTTGTAAGTGGAAAATAAGGTACTTACATCTGTGTCTTTTGAGCTGTTTTATTGCTTTCCTTTCATAGAAAATGTAATGTGAAGATAGACAGGGAGGTCTTGGAGGAGTCTTCCAAGTTTAAGACAAAAAGATCCTTTTATTTCTGAACTTCTCTGACTTTCCTAACCCAACTGGCAGTGGGGTTAAAGTTGAGTTGGGGAGACAGTCACCTCTGGAGAAGAGAAGGAAAATGGGGATGGCGTGGAAGGCTTGCTAGCCATCCCGTGGCTTTTCCAGAACATTCTCTGACCTGATCTCCTCAGCTCACATGACTTTGTCCAATACTTTTCCCTACACGTATATGTGTATATATATACACACACACACACATTTTACATCATTGTTCATTTTTTGTACAATGTTCCTCATAGAATTTCCACCACCAATTCGTCTGTGCACCATTTCCATAGTCCCTTGTGTGTGTGTATTTTAAAACATTTTTAAAAGACAGGTTATTTAGGAAAAGGAGAAGGAAAAGAGAGGCACCTGCATGGTCACAGGTAGGCAGAAGAGTTGCTGCTGCTGTTTTGCAAATGGAAAAGTTTTATGCAAGGAAACGCCCACATGGCCAAGGGCACACTGGAGAGCTGCTTCTTGCCAGTGCGGTACTGATTCCTGTCATGGAACTTTTATGTATACCTTCATGTACTAAATTGCTGGCCGGGATTATAAAATGAAAAGGAAATCTGTTTTGAGTTTTCTTTCCACAGCTACTAACATCTTTCAGCCTTAGCCATAGCAAACTACCTTTTGTGCTTAATATATTTAGCAGCGGCTCTTGAAATGGTAGGCTACAAACACACAGGAATACAGCACTTTTTTCTAGAACATGGATCTAAATGGAAGTTCATGTGCATTTAATTCTAGGCTTTGTTAGAATTCTAAGATCAAATGGTAGCAAGCGCTAAAGCTTAAGTGAAAATGTGCTTTAAATAAAATGTACCTTGTTGTCAATGGGAAATCTCAGTAATACTTGTGTTTTAAGGTAGAAAGCTTTCTAGAGAAAGCTTGAAAGTTACTAGTTTTCATCATCTAATAGTTGCTGAATGGTCTAATATGTTGTTGGAAAAATACAGGGGGCTGTATTGAGATACTTTAGTTTATACTCATGTTATCAACTGAATGATGAAAAATATTTGCTAAGAATGATAATTTGCTGGTAGAGAGGATGATTCTAAGCCTTTTTTCCCTTACAATAATCATCTTCTGGACAAACTGGATGTCAGAGTTACTGCTAGTTTGTGTCATTATAATCGGTTTCTCCAAAGTTCCTTTCAAGTGGGATGGGACTGGCTTGGTGCTTCAGTGCCCAGGTTCAGTGGACCCTGGGTCCAAATTTAGTATCAAAAAGAACTCAGCAGAAAAGGACTTGTGCATCTGGGGCTGGAAGTGACCTGCTTGGCTTGTGGCTCAAAGCCGGCAGAGGAGGGCTAAGGGCAGCTGACTTCTGCCTTGACTGCCTTGTTTTACATCAGCTTTCCAGGAAGATCCTCCACAGCCAGCGAGTCTGGCCTGAAGCGGCTCTGCCTCTGCTCTGTGGTCTTTCCCCGCGAGCCTTAGTGCCTGACCCTTTCACTGACATTTTAGGGTGAGTCAAAGTGCATTGTGGTGAAGAAGAAAGAAACAAGATATTCATTAAAATCATCCTCAAGCCCTGAAGTGCCAGAAATAAAAAGACACTGGAATTTAAAGTCTCTGATCTTCAACATTGGGCATGCAGGGAGTAGGGATGTCCAAAGGCTACTGCAAATGTATTACAATTCAAAGGCCTGGAAGGCAGAAGAAACTACAAAAGTATATTCACATTATGAAATCCAAGGGCCAGGCTCTTCCTCTGCACCCTCATACCTATAAAACTTAAGTTAATAAGATCAGACGGCCAGTCAGGCTTCTGAGTAGTGGCAATTTGCAGTGGGAAAGCACCAGGGAGTTCTGATACTCTGTGCTAGCTAGTCTTGTTCTCTGACACTTGCAGTTTAGTGCTAATTAGCCATGGGGAGACACCTAATTTCTGTGCCTCAGTTTCCTCTCTAGTGGATTATGGTAGTTAGGTTACTTTTGTAATGTTCAAAGGACTCTTCTGCTCATACACATTTAGAGTTCTAAGGCAAAAATTTGATAGTGTGCTTGTCAGGGACAGTGAGGATGGAAGGCCGAGCTGCTGTTTTTGTTTCTTTCCCAAGGGGTGAGGGGAGGCTACTGTGGCATAGAAGGTAAGCGGGTGGCTACTTCATTTTTGTGTGGAAATGGAGTGCCTTTTGGACACTTACAGTTTAACCTGCTATGTATGTATTACTTCGTGAATCCCAGGCATCTCCCATGATGCCAAGGGACCTCAATTCCGTGCCACATCTTTCTTGTCCTGAACCCATGCTCCACTCTTAGTATGGTGTGACAGCAGATTCACGACCAGGAGGGCCCACATCCCATTAGAGCTCTGCTTTATTCTCTGACTCTTGGCAAATCACCTATTGCGAAGACCTTAATTTCCACACACAATATAAAGTTTTATGTGTAAAGTTGGTTATTCTGAAATGGCTTTCTATTTTAAAAATAAAGATAATT